CACTATATAAGCTTGCGAGTAACAGATTCTGTTATTAATCACAACTGAAACAAAGTAAAGTTTTCGTTGCCTTTTTCTCTCATCTCTGTTTCTGTTTCTGTTTGTTTGAACTCTCTCTAAAGTTCCACATGGTATCAGAGCCTTACAAACGTCAATGGCCGACAATTCTGATCTGTCTAAGTTTGCTAGACCTGAAAAGATGCTGAATAGTCTAAGCAATTCGCAAAATTTTGCGCACTCTGCAGTTTCATCGAGTTTGCAAGTTGTTAATCCTAAGCTCACAAGAGATAACTACCGATTCTGGAGGTCTCAGATTCTGTTCGCCGTTGGTGCTCATGAACTGGAAGACTACTTAATTGGTACTATACCTCTTCCTTCTCCTATTATTCTTACTAAGAAAACATGTATGGATAATGCTGACGAACCAAAAGACAAAGAATCTGAAATTAAAGAAGAAATTAATCCAGCTTATGTGAACTAGAAACGTACTGACAAGTTCCTAGTCAGTTGGTTATTAGCTTCAATCTCAGAAAGTATGTTTGAATATGTCTCAAAGTGTCGTTATTCACATGAGATCTAGTCTGCTCTTGAGAATGAGTTTGAACTTGACTCTAAAGCTCGAGCTCTGCACTTAAAGAACCTATTACAAACAACTCAAAAGAAGGATTTAAATATAGATAGTTACGTTAAAAGGATGAAAGAAATTGCAGATAGTTTGTCAGCAAGTGGTCAGGCTGTATCTGAAGAAGATCTTTTTCAACATGTTCTTGATGGACTTGGTCTAGAATATGACGCAGCTGTTGTTAATTTGACCTCACGGATTGAATCGAAATTGGATTCGGTTACCTTACAAGAAGCAAAGTTTTTGTTACAAAAGTATGAGATAAGACTTGAGAAATTTAACTCTTTTGATTTCTCAAATAGCTCTGCTAATGTAGCTATGGTCAATCAAGCTTCTTCATCCAGTAAACGTGACAATATGACATCTCTTAATAGCTCAGGTCTGAATGTAGCACCCTTTAATAATTCTGCCTTGAGTACCTTACAAAACCAGACTCCTCACTCTCTTTATCCCGTGCCTACAAATTCACTCAATCAATTTGAGTCTTCTACTATTCCAGCTCAGTTACCTAGTTTTCAGTATGAGTCTGCATGGAACAATTATAGACCTGCAGTGTTCAATAATGCTGGTAGAGGAAGAGGAAGATTCAAAAGTCGAGGTAGGCCAATGTGTCAAGTTTGTGGTAAACCTGGACACACGACTGTGCAATGCTATCATTGGTATGATTCGTCATATACAGGAGGTTTTCAATCTGGAAATGGTTTTTCATCTGGAGGATTTTAGCCTCAATCTGGAAATGGACTATCCTCTAGTGGATTTCAGTCACAGTTTGCCAATCATGGTTTTCAGAACAATACACTAGTTCAAGTTCACTCTGGCAATTATCAGCCTGCAAGAACCTCAGTTGTTTCTGGACAAAATGTGTCAACTGGTCTTTCACATTCAGGTTCACACCAATAATTCAACACAGGAGGACAACCTGCTCACTTGGCTAACCAATCTTTTCAGCCCTTTGGCTAGATTACTTATACTGGTCTTCCAAGTCAACAAGCATCTAATGCACAAGCTGGTCCTCAAGCACACCTTGCTTTCCACCCACAGCAGCTCTTACCACAGTCTGCATCTGCTTCTTATGCAACCTCTTCTACTCCAACTGATCCAATATGGTATATGGACTCTAGAGAAACATATCACATCACATCTGATCCCGCGCAGTTGAATATTAGCAAATCTTATGAAGGGTCAAAACAGTTGCAAGTAGGGAATGGTGAGTTGTTACACATTTCTCATACTGGTAATTCCTATTTACCTAGCAATTTGCAATCCAAATGTATTTATCTAAAAAACATTCTATGTGTACCCAAAATAACCAAAAATCTTTTAAGCATTTCCAAATTCACAAAAGATAACAATGTGGTTGTTGAATTTAACTCAAATTGTTGTGTTGTAAAGGACAAAGTTACCAGGACTGTGTTGCTGCAAGGAGACCTTAAAGCAGGGTTATATCAGCTTGTGATTCCTCCAAATCTGTCCACTCAAATCTCATCTTAGTCTGCTCAGTCATTGTCCCAAGAAAAGTCCTTAAAAGACACCTATTCTGGAAACGTTGCAATGTCTCGTTCCTCTGAATGTCAGTTTGATAATTGTCAATTAGATAAGTCCTTAAGATCCCTAGCAATGTCTCATTCTAGCTTTACTTCTAATAATGATACTAAGTCTGTCTGTATCAATAAAGATAGTATCTCTATTTCTAATATTAGCAATGTTAGTGCTTGTGCTTTGCCTTCTTGTAATTCGAATAATGACAATATAAATAAAGATGATTCTGTTCATTCTCAAAATGTTACTAGTATTGCTCCATATGAAGATGTCTTACATGATGATTGTGTTCTTAATAATGTTAACCATGTGGATGGTTCTCAATGCAATGCTGCTGCTACTCCATGTGTTGACAGGTCATGTTTTGATTGTATTCATAATGATAAAAATTGTTCATATTGTTTTAGCCTTGATGCGACCAAGCCCAATTTGCATAATCATGATAATGCTGCATTAAGTTCTAATTCTGATGTCTCAACCCCTTATGTTTTCACAGTAAATAAGAACATTAGTCCTTTGGTTTGGTACCAAAGACTAGGTCATCCTCATGTCAAAGCATATCATTATATTATGCAGTCTTTACAAAGAGACACAAGCTATAAACCTGTTGAGTTCTGTGAGGCCTGTCAACTAGGAAAAATGCATCAAACCAGTTTTCCTAGATCTTCATCCAGAGCAGTTTTTCCACTTGAACTTATTCACAGTGACATATGGGGTCCTGTACCCATTCCCTCTACTGAAGGTTTCAAATATTATGTTCATTTTTTAGATGACTTCAGTAGATACATATGGCTTTTTCCTTTACAAACCAAGGCTGAAGTAAGATCTATTTTTATTAAATTTCATCATCTTGTAGAGAGACAATTTGGTTACAAACTTAAATGTGTTCAATCAGACCAAGAAGGAGAATATAAGGGATTAATTCCTTATCTTAGTAGTGAGGGCATTCAGTTTAGATATTCTTGTCCCTATATTCATCGACAAAATGGAAGAAGTGAGAGGAAACATAGGCATGTGGTAGAAACATGATTGACCTTATTAGCTCATGCATCCAAGCCATTGCATTTTTGGTGGCTTGCTTTTGAAACTGCTGTATATCTAATTAATAGAATGCCTACTGAAGTTTTACAGCATGCATCACCATATCAACTCTTGTTTAAATTTCAACCATCATATGCAACTTTGAAGGTGTTTGGCTGTGCATGTTTTCCATTTCTTAGAGTGTTTAACGAACATAAGTTTAGTTTTCATTCCCAAAAATGTGTCTTTGTAGGATATAGTTTGACTCAGAAAGGGTATAAATGTCTTAGTCCAGATGGTAAAATCTTTGTCACTCCCAGTGTGAGGTTTAATGAAAATGACTTCCCTTTTTCCAAAGTCAGTTCAGATTCTTTAATGTCATCCAAATCAGATCATTCTACTCCAAATTATTTGCCTTTTTATTTCCATAAGTCATTCAACTCACTCAAATCACTCGGCTGAACCTGTCTCTCCTGCAGCAGTTGGTTCTTCTAATGATTCTCCTTCAACCAGTGGTAAGAGTTCTAATTTTACTCCATCTGTTAATCCTACTTTGCCTACTAATTCCACATGTGTTTCTTCTCCTCAATTAGCTTCTCATGCATTACCTTGTAAGTTACAACCAGAGATACCATAATCACAACAAACATGTCCACCCAAAACCATTACAGTAGACTTAACAGCCTATGAAATACCCTGCCCAAAGATACAATCGTCACAACAAACTTGCTTACCTAAACCCATTGCAGTAGACTTAACATCTTATGAAATTCCTTGCTTATCCTATCCTACCAAACCTAATACATCCAATACAGATCCTTACCCTACCAATAACAATCTGTCCAAGTCAGCATGTCCACTTGCAACTGATCTGACCTCTCTGCAGCTAACTGATATTTCAAGTGCTTCAGCCTCAGATGCTCCAAATACTTCTGAAAATATAAATCCTATGCTTACAAGAGCCAAGTTGGCCAAACTGAATGCTACATCATCTGAGCCAATGTTTTAGCCAACTGCCTTCATACTCACTGGTTCAGTTGTGCCAGAACCAAGATCTGTCCAAGAAGCTTTATCTAGTCCTGAGTGGAAAACAGCAATGCAGCATGAATATGAAGCTTTGGTTTCTAACAATACCTGGACTCTTGTCCCTTATTCACCAGAGATGAACATTGTAGGTAACAAATGGGTATTCAGAGTCAAGTATAATGCAGATGGCTCTTTACAAAAATACAAAGCTCGATTGGTAGCCAAGGGGTTTCAACAAACTCCTGGACTTGATTATTTTGAGACTTTTAGTCCAATAATTAAGCCCTCAACAATTCAAATTATTCTTACTTTAGCAGTTACTCACAATAGGGATATTCAACAAATCGATGTGAATAACGCATTCCTTAATGGGGTTTTGAATGAGGTTGTCTATATGGTTCAACCTCCTGGTTTTGAAGAGTCTTCTAAGGCTTATGTTTGCAAACTGAATAAGGCTCTTTATGGACTCAAACAGGCTCCTAGAGCCTGGTTTGACAAACTTAAGCAAGCTCTCTTAAATAAGGGATTTAAGAACTCTGTTTCAGACTCAAGTTTGTTCATACTTCATCAATCTTCACAAGTAATCTATGTATTAGTATATGTAGATGATATTTTATTAACTGGGTCTGATATGGTTTATGTGAGTAAGCTTGTGCAGGAGCTGAATGATGAATTTTCCTTAAAGGCTCTCGGTTCACTCAAGTAGTTCCTTGGCCTAGAAGCTACACGAACAACCACAGGACTTCATCTACGTCAGACCAAATATGCTACTGATTTGTTGATCAAAACCAGAATGCTAGAAGCTAATTCTTCTGCTACTCCCATGTCTACAAGCTCCAAGTTATTTTCAGGTGATAGTGAACTATTTTCTGATCCTAGTTTTTTCAGAAGTACGGTAGGGGCTTTACAATACCTTACCTTGACAAGGCCTGATCTCAGCTTTACTGTAAATAAACTGAGTCAATTTCTTCAAGCACCAACTGCCCTTCATTGGCAAGTATGTAAAAGGGTCTTGAGATACATTCAAGGGACTAAGGATCATGGTCTAAAATTCACACCAGCAGCCTTTTTAGACATTGAGTGTTATGCTGATGCTGACTGGGGCAGTAATATAGAAGACAGGAGATCCACCAGTGGCTATTGTGTCTTCCTTGGACCAAATTTAATTCAATGGAGCTCTAGGAAACAAAAGGTAGTAGCTCTATCATCTACTGAAGCTGAATATAGAGCTCTGGCTCACACAACCACTGAAATAGCTTGGTTAAATAGTATATTTGCTGAATTAGGATTGTCAATGACAAAAATTCCTGTGATATGGTATGACAATGTGAGTGCTGGAGCTTTGGCTTCTAACCCTGTTTTTCATGCCAGAACCAAACACATAGAAATTGACACTCACTACATTAGAGAACAAGTTCTAGCTCACAAGATTGTTGTTCAATATGTACCATCCAAATTACAAATTGCTGACATTTTAAAAAAGGCACTTCCTGCTGCACAGTTTGAAGAATTAAAAGTAAAACTGAATGTTGTTCCTTGTTGCTTTACTGCAATTTGATTTTAGGTTGCAGATTTGACTTGTGTTCAGTAGTAAAGTTGAGATTGGATGGTGTTGAATTCAGTATGCTGTGATGATGAGTTGAATATTGTTGCAGAGTGTGTTTCTGTTGATGAGTTAAAGCAAATTATAGGTTGCATTTTTTTTTTTACTTGTGTTCAGTAGTACAGTTGTGATTGGATGCTGTTGATTTCAATCTGGTTATTGTGATGAGCAGAAGCAGATTATTGTTGGGCTGAATGTATTTCTAAGTAATGAGTAGAAGCAGATTATGGTTGGTTGAATGTGTTTCTAAGTAATGAGCAGAAGCAGATTATTGTTGGATGATGTTGATTTCAGTCTGGTTATTGTGATGACTAGAAGCAGATTATTGTTGGCTGAATGTGTTTCTAAGTAATGAGCAGAAGCAGCTTATTGTTGGTAGAATTTGTTTCTGGTGATGAGCAGAAGCAGATTATTGTTACTCTACTCAGTGTGTTGGATTTTGCAGAGAAAATAAGATGCTATGTCATATGTTGAATATTGGAAGCTGTTTTAAGAGTTAGTAAGTTGATAGTTTAAGGGAGGCTATTCAAGCTCAATTTGAAGAAAGTTGTGCAAAAATAAAATAGATAGATTGTCAAGCTCAAACTGTAGGGCAGTTTGGCTTGAGGGAGGCTGTTGGTCTGAGAAGAGGAGACTGCTGTCTAGCTTAAAGGAGGCTGTTGGTTTGTGAAATGCTGCCGTCTTAAATATAAAAGACTGCATAGAAATGTTGCCATTTCAACTAAAGAACAATCTATGAAGAACCAAAAACGCAGTCGTCTCAGCTCCAACCTTTACTAAAATAGTGTTGGCTTCTCTGTTGCTATATAGAAGTCTGTTCTTTCTCTCTGTAACCTCACTGTAACTAATTCTGTTTCTTCAGTTCAGCAGCTCACTATATAAGCTTGCGTGTAACAGATTCTGTTATTAATCAAAACTGAAACAAAGTAAAGTTTTCGTTGCCTTTTTTTCTCATCTCCGTTTCTATTTCTGTTTGTTTGAACTCTCTCTAAAGTTCCACACTCAAAACTATCAACTGATGATTATTCTTCATTAAGCTCCGATCCTACTAGTGAAATTTACCAAAAGCAGATCCTAGAAGAGAAAATCGATTTATTTGAAGCATATTAGGAACTTCAAAGTTTGTTGGAACAGTCATTTTCGATGGAAGGATTGTACATGGATGAAGGTTATGGGGCTACAGGTCCTGGATTTATGGTTCGAACTTCTCAGGGAGAGTTTTCAGATGAAGAACTCCAAAATTTATTGGAACAACCGTTTCCAGTGGAGGGTTCGGACATGATGGAAGGTCATGGGGCCAAGGATCCTGGATTTGTGAAGCCAATATCTCAAGGAAGGTTTTCAGAAGAACTCAAAATTTTATTGGATCAGCCATTTCCAATGGAGAATTTAGGCATGTTGGAAGGTTATGGAGCTACAAACCCTGGGTCTATGGTATCAACTACTCCCCAGGTGGGGTTCTCAAATGAAGAATTTCGAAGTTTAATGGAGCAGCCATTCCCGATTGAGAGCCGTTATGGGGTGGAAGGTTATGAGGCTATCAAAGACCTTGGAATTGAAGAATCAACTTCTCAAAAAGGGCGCCAAGAGGATCCATATCCATTTGCTTCCAACTACGATGTTGGCAATGATTTATGGCCCTATTTTCTAATGGAAGTAAATGATAATGGGATGTGACATTGTCTGTTTGCACTTAATTTGTTTCTCCTCTTCTTATAACGCATATTATATGAAAGTAGGTGTAAAATGGCATACTGGTATTCGATGCTTGTATGGGTCGATTTACTAAACGTTATCACATACAGTACGAATTTTTTTTTTTTTATTTTTTTTTGTGAGTATGAGTAATTGCTTACTGCAAAAGATTAAAGCGATATGTTATGTTTTAGTTGTGAGTAACTTACAATATGGACTCTTTCATTGTCAATAATCTTGGAAGCAAATTAACTGTTTTAATAATCGACCCAGGGTGAAACCTAGCAAAGTGCTCGGGTCTCAAACTGATCGATTGAACCGATTCGACCAACAGGTCAAACTGGTGACGTCAGCATGTCTAAAGGTTTGAAATCTAGCAAACTCACCTCTGAAGAATTCATTAGTCCGTACAAGTTTGAAATCTAGCAAACACACCCTAAAAGCAAATTAGTGGTGACTTGTTGTTGGCAGCGACACACCAAATGCATATCCCACTCTTCCTTTGAATCATTCCCCAACAAATCTGCCCAAGATTTGGCCAAAATTGAGCCATTTTGTAGCAAAAAACACCACCGTCGGCGTCGACAACCCAGGCCAAATAGATTTTGTTTCTAAAATCAACAACACTCCCCATCACCATGAAAGCACTCCCCTCAACCTCTTGAAGAAAACCCAACTCACCCCCCTATTCGTTCCGCTAATTATCGGCAACAGCTCATTGTTGTGGTCGTGTGGCTTTTGCCTTTTCTGGTCATTTCATTCACCAGAAATCACCTCTATCACCACCTTTCAACTCACCAGCACTTCTTCTCCAAAACCCCCCAACAGCCTTGCCATCGTCTGCTCGGCAATTGTTGCTCTCCTCTCTAGGGTTTGCTTATTCGAGTTATGAACAATTGAAATTGGTGACTGGGCCCGACAAAGAACTCGAGTCTTAGTTACACCGGTTAAATCATCTGGGCTAGGCTGAGTTTTAAAACAGAGTAAATTAATTACCTTATATATATATATATATATATAGAAGAGCACCTTGGAGGCCTGATTATGTTAACACCTTAGAACCAAAACATAATTATACTCAAACTAGGATTTCAAATACTAACACTTGTCAAAAACTATGACAAGCCTTATGCTAACATCAAATTTGGGTGGCTATAAAGAGTCTCTAATATCCTCAGAGCTATCTATTGATGAGTATTCTTCATCAAGCGCCCTTAATCCGTTTAGTGTAGTTTACAAAAACCAGGCCATAAGAGTGAACATTGGTTCATCTGAAACATATGGAGATCTCTAAAGTTTATTGGAGCAGTTATTTCCTATGGAAAAACCCATACATCATGGAAGGCTATAGGGCTATAGCTCAAGGGGGGTTTTCAAAGGAAAAACTTCAACTTTTTTTGGAGCAACCATTTCCAATGAAATGTTCAAATGTAACGTGCGTGAAGCTTATTTACTTGAAGAAAAGGGGTAGTAAGCTTGAAGGAGAGGCTGAAAAGGTCATCTTCGATAAGATATATAAGTCTATAGTTTGATGGGACTCTAAAGAAGTCCAAAAGCAAGCATGCCGAAGAACATGCTTTGAACAACTATAAGTTGTGACAAACAAGAAGTAAGGAGGAGTAAAAGAATGAAGAACAAGCTTTGAAGTTCAATACCCAAAAGGTTCAAGCATGAGTGTTGGGATGTGAGCACTTTTTGGTAATTGATGAAGAAAAGGCAAGCAAGAAGAAAAAAGAATTTAAGTTTTAGGCAAATTTTTATTTTAGGAATTTGTAACTGAGAATATTTGTTTTCTTTTACTTTGAGTTGTATTGGGAAAGAAGAACAGGTTTAGGATTTTATTTAGACTTAAAATAGGAGAATTAAATTAGAGGAGTCTTATTAGGATTTAAAATATGAATCCTAGTAGAAAAAGAATGTCTTATTCTACCTATAAATAGCGGGGTTAGAACAAATTCAAGATTATGAGAGAAGTCACCAAAGAAGGGATAATGTGAGAAACATAAGATGTGAGAAGGGGTATTAATTAAATACCATAGGAATAGGATGTCTGTTAGTGTATATTAGTGTATGCCCTAGAAACCATTCGTGTTGTTGGTTTCAGAGCATTTTGTCTTGTATCTATATATATATATATCATAAATAATAGAAGAAAGAGTCCTTCAATTCATATATGTAAATTGCTTCCTTTATTCAGTCATGCATTTAAAATAAAGTATGTATATGAATTGTCCAGATGATTCATTTAATCGGTAAATGAATTATCGAAAAGGGTTCCCTANTCATCTCCGTTTCTATTTCTGTTTGTTTAAGCTCTCTCTCTAAAAGTTTCACATGATGACAAGCTCTCGTCTCTTAAGGTATTTATAGGCGTAAAATGCATGCACTGTGAAGATCCTAAACGCAATTGGTCATCATTTCATTAATTAAAAAAATAAATTAAATAATTAAGTGGACCCGCCGCGTCAATATCAATTTCGACGGTTTATATGTAACTAACGTATAAAAGACCTTTCTGTATCTTTGCATATAATTAATTGGATCTTTTGAAGATCTTTCACCGTAGTTTGCAATGTCCATTCGTCTTATACTTTACCTTCTATTTTAGCTACATCATTCCTTAACAATCATTAAGTATATATATAGAATGTGAGAATGAAACACCAGTGACCAAATTAAATTTTTTCTTGAAGCTAAATGCTTGGCCTTTCAATGTGCTGAACCTGAACTATTGCTTTATGTTGTTTGAATGTTGTAAGGGTGGTATTCTATTTAGTCAATTTCGTTGGATAGACGGTTGATAAGCTAAGAGAAGGACAGAAGGTAGCTATCCCTGCCTAGAAAAATGAAAATTAGTAAAGTTGGGAGGCTCCGCCACCACCGAAATGTACCAAAAATTCAGGAATTCTCTTGTACTATCTGATGAGTGATGAAATGATATATATATTCCATAATTTTATGAGTAGATTGTAGGGAACTCATGACTTTCATGGATTATTTTTATGTAAGTTTGTTTGTATATTTCTATTTTCCAGAATCACGGGTATGTGTATGAGTTTCAGGTTTTTAGACGGAAAAAGTGATGAATTCATGCTCACACGGTGGTTGGAGGCTTTGTACATGTTAAAGAGAGAAGTCAGATCATCAAGCAAAAGAAAGAATGTGAAATTGTTGGATGGCGTCGCGACATGCTTTTTCTGTGTCACGCATGGTTTTTCTGCTTCGCGGCGTGAGAAGCTGAATTTGGACAGAAAGTTCAT